CAGCATCTATTAGTATGGTGTAAGTACAAATAATTATTAAAAATTCTATTTTTAAAGAAAACATTAAGACCTTTTTGTCAATACTTTGACTAATTTGATCTCATGACAATGACATAACTACTCTAATAAAATAAATGATACTCTATATTAATTAATTAAAATACTAATATAATAATTATTTTCTGTGAATTTCAATTTTCAGGGCTGTAAAGAGGTCAAATTGTTTTCACAAAAATGGGCATGAAGCAAGTTGCTCAATTGAAAGTTACCCATACATGATAATATTTGCAGTAATTCAAATAGTTCTTAGCCAAATTCCAAATTTCCACAAGCTCTCATGGTTATCAATTCTTGCTGCTGTTATGTCATTTACTTATGCTTCTATTGGTCTTGGACTATCCATAGCCAAAGCCTCAGGTACTATATACATCGACAGTATAAAATATTTTTATATTTATCTATACAAGTTAATTATGTATATCTTTTACTGTATTATCGATGCATAAAAATTAAATTCTCGATATTAAAAAAAATGTAGGTGTGGGGCACCATGTGAAGACAGCCCTAACAGGGGTGGTAGTAGGTGTGGATGTATCTGGAACAGAAAAAGTATGGAGAAGTTTCCAAGCTATTGGAGATATTGCATTTGCTTATGCTTATTCCACAGTTCTTATTGAAATACAGGTAACCATAGTTTTATCATATATCTTTTTCATATTTTATAATTGATTAGTTGATGTTTGTCTACATGTGAACTTGCATCAATTATGGGTAGCAATTGCCCATGCCCCCTCCACACACACACAAAACATATATATGTGGTCATACTTGTGTTGTGTATATGGATGGAATTTTAAAGTAACGACTTCAGTTGAGCTTATAAAATATATGAACAGTTAAAATATTATTTTATAAGTAAAACAAATTTCTTAAAGGTCATAAAACTAATTCTTCTAACGAGAGCATGAAACACAAGGATTAATTCTATAATTGTCATTTCAAGTTCATCGTTTTCTCCCTTTTAAATCATCCAACCCTACCACCCTTGACTTTCAACCCCATAGTATTTTACTTTATTATATTTCATTATTCCTAGGATAATATTATGTTGCTTACTTATTAAACACTAAAAAAAAAATTAAAAAATAATATTTTTCATTAATTTTTTTTTTCTACATACCAACCATGCACACCCTTTATTTCAAACTTTTTGATTTCAATACCTTCAAAGATGCACTTATATGATCCATTAAATCATTCATATATTTAATAGGAGTCTTTTGTCATACCATTTAGTACAAAATCTTGACTCCCTAATGACCAGTACCCCACCTATTAATTCATTCTCACCCAAACAAAAAAATCAGAGGTACTTAGTTGAAATGTGTGCCTCACTAATTAATGAAAGCGTTGCATTAAAGTGTACAAATTTTATTATATATTTATATATACGCCTACTACTCTTGAGTAATCAGTCTGTAGACTATAGTCACCTAGCCACATGTTCGGTTTTGGAGCATTAGGAATTACGATGGTCCATCTTTTATTGCTATTTTAAAAATAATCTATATAGTAATATTAAGATATCACAAATATAAAAAAAATATCTATAGTATCTTTTGTTATTCGTCTCAAAAATAATTTCTTTATCTTTTAAATTTGCATATATATTATCCAATCTTCTTCGGACCTTGCTAATTGAATTATACTGAGTAGATTGCTATTGTTACTTCATCTGTAAATGTCTTTATATAAAATTAAAAAACTATTCGTTCTTTATCTTTTTTCTTTAAACTCACGAGCACTGTTTTTTCTTTAATTAAGGAATAACATTAAAGTAGAGGACCACAGAATATGTAGTTAAATTTTTCCCTTTCCTTCTTTTGGAATATTATGTTAAAGCCAGAATAGTAATATAAGGAATATATATAGTACTCCTTTTTAATTTATTTGTCTGTTTTAACTTGAGACTGAGTTAAAATAAATAAATTAGACTTTTAAATTTTGTAATCTTAAACTAAAGATATATAATGTGTTAAAGTATCTTTTAATCTTATGATTTTAAAATATACCATATTGATAGTTTTAAAATTAAAGAGTTATCAATAAATGGAAAAACACACTTTTTTGAGAAACAAATTGAAACGGAAAAATATACTCCTAATATATTGTATTTTATTCCTCTTGGACCAGAAAAAATATGGACCACGAGTTTGGGTCATTGATTCTTTAGGATTTTTCACAAAAAATAAAAGTGAAAGCCCACTCTTACGCTTCTTATCATTTCATAACAACCATCCTTTTTTTTTTTGTACTATTATCCGATTTACGATGACCTCAAGTTTTTAGTATTGTGACATCTTTTGTTGTTTTGTCATATGATGTAATTTAAGCAAGAATTGAGTTTAGTGGACCCCATCTCTCACTTCATGATAATAATAATCTTGTTTGGTAACTTTCCTAAATCAAATAATTTGTGTTTAGACTTGACAAAACAACTAAAATCTATGAGATAATTTCTGATTGGGAAAAGAAAAAGAAACCGTTAGAATTGAACACACACCTAATTATTCTAGTGGACGCCGTTTTAATATGGTAAAATGATTCAAAGACTGAATATAACTTATGTTGTTTGAAATTTTTCAAAAATATTGTCACATTTGTGTCGAACCTTGAAAAATGCACTACTTTGTCGTATTGATTAATCAGCTCTTAATTACAGGACACACTGAAATCATCACCATCAGAAAGCAAGGTTATGAAGAGAGCCTCACTAGCTGGAGTTTCCACCACAACTTTATTCTATGTACTTTGTGGTACCATTGGCTATGCAGCCTTTGGAAACAATGCTCCAGGAAATTTTCTCACTGGATTTGGTTTCTATGAACCTTTTTGGCTAATTGACTTTGCCAACGTCTGCATCGCTGTCCACCTTGTCGGAGCTTATCAGGTAAAGAAGACTTTTGAATCTTATAAAAGAAAGAGACGTTTCTTTCTGAAAAAGAAGTAAAACAAACAAATAGAAACATAATCTAACGAATATCAAATGTATCATGATTGCTTAGGTTTTCTGCCAACCATTATATGGATTCGTGGAGGGTCGTTGCAGTGAACGATGGCCAGACAGCAAATTCATAACCTCAGAATACGCGATGCAAGTTCCATGGTGTGGCACTTACAACCTCAACTTATTCAGGTTGGTGTGGAGAACAACATATGTTATAGTGACAGCGGTGATTGCAATGATATTCCCCTTCTTCAACGACTTCTTGGGGTTGATCGGAGCAGCATCGTTCTATCCATTAACCGTGTACTTCCCAATAGAGATGTACATTGCTCAGAGAAAGATACCAAAGTATTCTTTCACATGGGTATGGCTGAAAATATTGAGTTGGACTTGTTTGATCGTATCACTTGTTGCAGCTGCTGGATCGATCCAGGGACTTGCCACTGATGTTAAGGGTTACAAGCCTTTCTCAACTCATCAATAAGTTTGTTCAAATTATTAAATATGTAATGTTATCAATAACAAGTGTAATGCAAGCTGAAATATGCCTGTATGTTATTATTCTTATAATTTTTATACAGTATGCTTCTTTTACATGGGCTTCATTTCAATTTGTCTGATTTTAACTTGGCATCAAGTTTAAAAAAAGTAAAGAATACTTTTGAAATTTGGAGTTAAGGCGTATTCATGGTTTGTGAATGTTAGGCATGTGAAGTTTAAGAAACTCTATAGTTATGCCACTTAAACAAGGAAAAACTTCAAAAATAGTGTTTGGCAATTGCAGGACAAACCCTCCCCACCTCACATAACATAATTTTCTCTTCTCAACTTACCCCGCCAAACATAAAATTTCTTTGAATGACTTAAATAGCTTATTAGAATCATAAAAACATCACTGATGTAATAACTGTGAAATATTACATAAAAAACAAGTAATTGATAGTTTAGAAAAACTATTTGAAATATATACAAAAGTGACCAAGAAGAATTAGAAGAGAATTGATTTACAACATAATGTCAAAAGAGAGTGATCCCAAGACTCACTGAAAAATGGATTCTCACTCAACATAACACAATGACAAATGAAAAATAAATTATTGATTCTTTTAAAAAAAGTACAAGTGTTTTAAGCTAATAAAAGGTTAATCTGACAAGTATTTGATAGTTGGTTTTCTTGCCTAGAGCCTAAACGGAAGAAATTGTTTAGCAATTTCAGCATTGGGTTTATCTCAAACCCACAACCTGCTCTGCCCACATGATTTTTGTTTTAAAAAAAAAAATTAACCCACCCCGCCCTACAAAGGTTGTAACCTGCTCCCGCAAAAGCTATAACCCACCCCGCCCCACAAAGGTTGTAACCTGCTCCACCTCGCACCCGCCTAAAAGAAACCAAAATAAGCGTGGTAATTAAGCTTAATATTGTAAATCACAAGGGGAAAGTATGACGAAGCAAGAGCTGAAGGGAGGTTTCAAAAATTTTCTCGACTATCTATTAGTTCTCATTAGACTGTTTTCATAGTTCCTTTTAATGCACAGATATTAAAAAAAGAAAAATAATGAGGTCTTCAAGCTACACTTTATAAAATTTAGAACAGGAATGGCTCCATCATATTTGATGGACAAAAAGACAGGGCAACCTGTAAATATCTGCAAATAAGTTTTGAAAAACCCATTCCTTCCTCTTCCTAGAATGATTGATCAACTCAAGTGAAGATGTTCTGTTTTAGCCAACTTGTAATACTTCTAATACCCTAACATGCATTTTTTCTATTTTTCCTTGTCAAGAGTTTGCTGCCCTGCCAACTGCTAAACCATATCTCTTCCAGTTGTTTTCAACACCAAACTCCAGCTTCGGCACTGTTTAGAACATCATAACAATAAGTTTTCTGATATAAGTTAACGAATTCACAATGACAAAAGAATGAAAAAGGGAGTACAATTAACTGCTCTCCATTCACACAGCTCGTGGAAACAAATGTCATTCAATTTAAAGTCCACAAGATCGAGAAATTACCTCACTGCCACCAGTCAAGCACCTTCAGTCTCGACCATGACAAATGCTTGAATGAGACTCTGAGCAGCATTCGTCTGCTCAGGCGTACCAGATATAATGATCACAGTCTCTGTAGCTCCAGGCTTGGGATCATTTATGGTGACTTTCGCATCAGAAATCTAGAAAATAATTAGTCAAACGAAGAGTCAAATAATAATATACTTTCATACAACACAACAAATTTGTACTTGCCCATGAATGACACTACGTAGGCGTTTGAACATGGATTTGACTGAAATTTGGGAACATTGGTTATTGCACTTGAAAAATGGTTATTAGAAAGTTGAAGTTGTGTGAGTGGAAAAAGATTTTTCAGTTGAAAAACTAATCAAAAGATCAATCTAATGTATAACCAAACAATGTTTTGAACAAACGGAGCTAGTATTGATATACTTTTTTAAAAAAAATCCAAAAAATGGTAAAAGAAACTTCTTTTCAGTAAGCCTCCCATCTTTTCTGATATTGAAAAACAAGGAGCAGAACATGTACAGAAAGACATGAGGGCATCTTGAAAGTAAAAATTAAGAACAGAGAAAATGAATACTAGACCAAATAGGTATAAATATGTACAAAACGAGGGCTATAATATTTTGTCAAATACATACATTTTACATACATAAAGATGGAGATCATATATATATATATATATATTTTAATGGGCATGGCCTATAGTAGAGACCAATCAGAAATAAAAGGGCAAAAAAAAAGGTATAATGTGAATTAGGGACATAAGATCATACCTCACATATTTGTCGAAGACATCCCCCACCTTCTCCATAGATTGCAGGAATGACAGATCGAGGTACAACAACTTCCACGGTAGTGCTTGTGATCACAGCGGGATTACTTCCTCTATATTAATGAAATTCACGTGTAACAGAGACATACATATATCATTGATGTATAATAGAAAAGGCAGTTCATAAATGAACTCTAAAACATCAAGAAGAAAAAGAAAGCAAAATGAAAGAGTCTGGTCATGATTTAGAAAGTACAGACCCTCCAAAGCCGCCAATATTTCGAGGACCTCCTGCATAGTCTGGGAAGCCTAGATGTCCCCCACCTTCACCCCGTCCCTGCAATTCAGTTCAGATAATTAATATTTCTAATGTTTGTCACGTTTTTTGGATCTTTACTTTTTATTCGAGCAGAAAGAAGAAGTGCTCTAAGACAATTGTAACGCTCACTTTAAATTACATTATGAAAGCAACAAGCATGTGGTTACAAGTACATAAGGTGGAGCAGCCTATATATAAAAATCAACCAACTCCTACTATAAAAGTCACAAGAAACTAGAATGGTAGAACTAACTGCAACCAAATGCTACCTGAGAACCCCATGGTGCTGAAGAAGGCATTCTATCAGAAATATGAGGTGGAATGCCTGGCCTATGGAAATTTTGCATAAATGGAGGACGATCATCATGTGGATGGAAACCACCATGTGGAGGTAGAGCATCAAACTTGTGAAATGGTGGACGAATGTTGGGGAACATGCCTGGAGGTGGTGAAAATTCTCTCCTTCCCATGTGTGAAGGGAATGGAGGTACTTGGTCCAGAAACCCAGGGTTTGAAGGAAATGCATCACGAAAGTAATGATTCTGTAATCTGGCAGTTATCTGCAGAAGGGCTTCATGAACTTTTTCAACATCTCCATTTATCTGAGCAACCAAAAAGAAAAGTTAAAAGCAAGTTGAGAAGTAGGAATTAGGTCTGTCCTTAAACCAAACAAATGTTGCCATAGACATCACACTAAACCTAAAGGCTAGCAACAAACCCTCTAAATATGCAAAAAAAAAAACAGCCAATTTTTATGCTTAGTAACATCACTCAAATCATAAAAAGCAAAAAATACCTGAATTACTTCTTCATTTTCCGCAGCACACTTTGGGATTTGATCCTTGCCTACAATACGAATATACGCTCCAGTTGATTTCCTCATTTCAGCTATTATACCACCACCTTTACCCAAGAGACACCCAATTTGATTGGAGAACACCAAGAGTTTTGCAACCATAACATTGTCCTGATTCTCAGGTGCAGCCCTAAAAATTCGGGATTGGATGCGAAGGACAGCATCTTGCGGCAAAGATATTCTATCATCTGGGAACTGCATAGATAGAATGGCCATAGCCTCTTATTGTTAGGTTATAGAAAATCAAAGAAGCATGATAAAGAAGAGGAAAGAAGAAAGAGTAACAACTTTAGCAAAAAGAATGACCCTCCCCCTTCCAATGCCAATTAAAGGAAATCCTGGAAAAAGAAAGCAAATAGAGAGACGTAACAAATCATACCGCTGGACCAGAGATGACAATAATTCGATCTTCAGAATCCCCTGTGGCTTCCAGAACTTTGATTTGACACCCAGTCTCATGCTGAAGTGCTTTAATTATACTTCCTCCCTTTCCAATTATACCTCCAACCTTTTCGTCTGGACAAAGTAATCTGAAAGTCAAGGCATCAGGAATAGGATTCATTCGACCAGGTATACCAGCTTCCCCAACACGAAATCCACCAGAGGAAGCAGGCCCCTGCCCATGGTAAGGACGTGTTGATGGTGGACGTAATTCCCGGTTAGATAGAGGACGTCTAGGAGACTGAGAAGATGGACCACCAGCATTAGCAGAGAGAAAATCTTGATCCCCAGAGGAACTCCCAAGTAATTGTTGAGCAACAATTTCAAGAGCTTTTTTAACTGCATCATGCTCCCCAGAAATCTGCAACATAACAATTAGGAATGTCTCCAGAATTCTGGTTAATATGACAAGATTTGACTACGAGAGTACTGCATAAAAGCAGCAGACAATACACAATGATCAACTCTGTGAAACGTGAGACAGGAAATAAGATGTCGATGAAGCAGTATTCACTGTGAACCAACAAGTAAGAAGAGTATGCAACATTCTCAAATTGAATTGTATAGATACAAGGGCCATTTTCTGTCACTAAAGTTAATTAAAGGACTTCCTAACGCAGAAATTACTGTTATATCAATAAGACCTCTCAAAACATCATGACAAGCACACACAAGAAAACAGGCAGGATTCAAATACAACTTCGACAGAAAAATGATCACATTGATGACAGTTAATGGCTAAGCTGAGTGAATCAAGTTGACTAATACTTGCAAGGAATGAATGAATAAATATCAACAAATATACCTGAACCAATTCATCTGATGAAGACGCACATGAAGGTAGTTTGTCCCTGGGAAGAATTCGTATCTGTGAACCACTTTCAGAAGACATCTGCTTTATGACACTACCACCTTTTCCTAGCAAACAGCCCACTTGGCTGGAGAGAACAAGCAATCTTATAATTAATGAGGAAGAATTATTGCCTTCTTCATCTCCTCCATCCATTTCTGCTCCTCCTTCAACCATCCTTTCAAACAACAAGAATAGAGCTTTCTGAATAGATTCAGTTTCCTTTTCAGTTTTGGAATTTTCTGCCGGAAGAGACGCCTTATTCTCACCCTTATCACCATTTTCATCATTGCAACTGTCTTTTTCCTTAGTTTCACTCCCCTCAACATCAGCATGGAACTGTTTGGTTCCCACTTCATCTTCTTTTCTTGAACCTATAATAACTATCACCCTCTCATCACAACCAACAATACTATCCTCAACTTGAACCTCTGCACCAGTTTCCTCTTGTATCCGAGAAATAATGCTACTATCCTCTCCGATAAGGAAATCTATTTTTGAAGCAGGGCATAATATACGAATTTTCACAGGTGATCTCTGGGAACTAAAAGATGATGATTTCTGCCACTTCCCTCGGCCATTTGTTTCTGCAAGGCTCTGATCATGTGGTCTCTTGGAAGGTGTCAACTTCATTGACATATCTGCAATTTTTTTTTTGTAACAGACGCTCATTTCAGGATATAAGACTATAGAGGAAGTATGAGAAAGGTATGGAATGATAAGACTAAAGTGGATGTATGAGAAAAGTATGGAGTTTTTTTTTTTTTTGGGGAAAGGTAAGATAATTTGCAACATGGTCAACTAGAAGAATCAATTTGGTAAGGCCTGAACCCATGAATGCAAATATTATCAATCAAACTCCATAGAGCCACATTGGTAGTGACTTCTGAAAATTGTACGCGCTATTCTTTTATAGATGATCAGTAAGACACGTTTATCAGAGAGTGATATCTGAATCAGGGAAAATGAATGTGTCAAGTACGAACCCTAGGGATGAGCAACAGCTCATAGTTCAGTCTAAGCATTTGGCATTCAAACTACTCTCCACCACTATTTTGTGGTAAATTTTTAATACCTTCTCACCTAAACCCTTCGAGTCCACTTCATATGTACTCTTTATGTAATATAAAGCTATGCACTAGGCTTGCAAAAGCCCAAACCCGAGAAATCAAGTTTCAGCTGAAGCTTAAAATGCCGAACTAACAAAAAATTAATCAACGGTCTATGATATAAACATCTATCCTATTCAGTTCCATGGAATTCCATACTTATACATTTGCTAGTTACAATCTGCACAAATTTGAAGTTCTAATAGAAGTTTTTGATTTATAACTTTAATTTTAGCAGTACCAATTCTGTACCTATACATTTGCTAGTTACAATCTGCACAAATTTGAAGCTTTAATACAAGTCCTTGATTTCTAACTTTAATTTTAGCAGTACCAATTCTATACCTATACATTTGCTAGTTACAATCTGCACAAATTAGAAGCTTTAATACAAGTCTTTGATTTATAACTTTAGTTTTAGCAGTCCCAATTTAGCGACATTTAGCTCGACCACTCAGTGAAACTAAAAGTATGAAATCGAGAAAAACTGCAAGAGAAAAACGAAAGAGTAAAGGAGAATTAAGTGATTCAGCATTTTTACCAGGCTTCGTCGGAGATATGATCGGACCGCTTCAACGGTGGAGTAGGGTTCTGCTAGCAACGCCGTAACGGTGAAGATAAACCTAAGTATCCGGCGGAGCTCAGGGAGAGTGGTGTTATATCAGAAGGTTTCACTTTTGTTGTAAGTAGTACTTTTTAGGGATTTTACCAATTTATTTGTGTGCATTTATTTCCATTAAGTACTTACTTTTTTTGGTCAAAAAATATTTATTTTCAAACTATTTCTTTTCTTCTTCTTCTTCTTCTCTTTTACATTTTTAATAAAGAAAAAAAATTAAATAAAAAGGTCTTAATAACAAAGAATGAAGAGAAAAAAAATGATCTAGTAAAAGAAGTGAACTTTGGTTCAATTTATTAAACTTTATTATTTTTTTATCTCTATTTTGGATTATACGAATTTATTCATGTGCATTTATTTCCCATTAAGTCCTTACTTTTTTTTTGGTCAAAAGATATTTATTTTCAAATTTCTTTTCTTCTTCTTCTCTTTTACATTTTTAATAAAGGAAAAATAAATAAACAAAAAGGTGTTAACAAAAAATAAAGAGAATAAAAATTGGTCTAGTAAAAGATGTGAACTTTGTTTGTGAACTTTGTTTCGATTTATTAAAATTTATTACTTGTGACCTCTATTTTGGATTTTACAAATGTCGAAAGCTACAACAGACGTGTGATAAGCTCACATTTCTTACGCCATTGAATTTTAAATTAATGATCATTTTTGTCATTTTCTATATTTAAAAAATCATAAATTTTATGAACTTGGAATAAAAGAACCAATTTTTTTGAGTTTCTTTAGTGAAACTTGTCCTCAAAGACTTTAAAAAATTTAAAATCATCTCTATATACAAAAATACGACTAGAATTAGAATATAAAATACAATTACTTAATTGTCAATTCACCTCTATTAAATAATATTTAATTTAAATTAAGTAAATAAAAAAGAAAAACACTTGAAAAATCTAAATGAATTAGTTTTTAATTTATGTTCTTATATAAATTGATTATAAATTAATCAAATTTATATTTAGGGAAGCACAAGTTTTCTAAAATCGAAAGTCATAATTGAATATAATTTGTGAAATTTAAGATATAAAAATAAAAATTTATACTCCAAAAAAAATTCCATATTAATATTAAAATGATTGTTTGGAGTTTTTTTTTCATAATCCATAATAAGTTAATTGTTCAAAGTTTAAGATAAATATTTGATTTTTTTTTCTATTTTTTCCCTTCATTTACATTTTTTAGATGATAAATTCAAGAGAGTTAATTCCTCATATTTATGATTTTTCTTTAAATTATTTCCATACTGGAAAATGCTATTTAATTTATGTCATAATTTTTTTTCTTAATAAGTATGAGGGTGTTTGGATTGGCTAAAAAGTGGTCAAATCTACTTTTAAGTCAGTTTTTGACTTTTAGAAGTGTTTGACAAATATAAAAAATAACTTAAAATAGGTTAGGAAGTGTTTGGCAATGTCAAAAATGACTTAAAATTAGTTGAAAATGACTTAAAATAACTCAAAAATCAAAAGTAGCTCTCCCCTACTTTTTATTTTTTGACTTAAAAGTCATTTCAGTTTAATTTTTTTTTTAAGTCAATCCAAACAGGCTCTAAGTATTAACTCACAAATTCATTAACCGAAAGAGTATTTTTCTTATTATAAAAGAGAAAAGAAGACAAAGTAGGTAAAAGTGTAAATAGCATATTAATAAACTAGTAAAAAAATTGACTTGAATTTATTAATAGGGATTACTGTAATATAGAAAAAGGAGACTTTCATTTCCTTTGCCAACCAACACTTGTATAAATAGAGACAACTTTTTTCTTCTCAAAACATATTTTTATACAACAAATTTGAAAATCTCATTGCTACAAACACCGATGATGATTAGTGGAAGCGGCAACGATGTTGAGGAATCACAAAATCTCTCATTGGAGAATCCTAAGAATGAAAATGAATGGGGCAGTTCATCGCGGATTGTTGTGGCTACGCCTACACCAAAGTGGGCTGGGACAAGGTTAATGAGGGAAGAGGAGAACGTCTATCAGAAGCTAAAGGGTTTACTACCGTCTATTATGAGAGATCGTGTTATAGTCACTGCAATGCATCTATGCATGAGAAGAGGTCCAATGGAAAAGGCACGGTTTGAAGTTTATCAAGAGAATCTGGAGAAGGTAACAAGAGCAAGAGGGAACCGTAGAGTTGATGACTCTGCTTGGTGCGGGACATCAACTAAAAATCTCGACAGCCTTACGTGTCGTGGGTTTGAAATGAATAGTAATGTACCTGCTTCTTATCCTCATGGTGTTGGTATATACTTGTCCCCTTTCTTATCACCTCAAATAAGGTATAGTACACATGCTTCATTTTTGGTGTTTTCTTAATTAATTATTCCACATGATGTTCATTAATTATTTTTTCTATTTAATTTGTGTAGTGATATGATGTCTGATATAGATGAAAATGGTGAAAAACATATCATTTTATGTCAAGTTATATTGGGAAATTTTGAAAAGGTTGAGTTAGGATCTAAGCAGTTGTTTCCATCGAGTAAGGATTTCGATACCGGAGTTGATGACTTAACAAATCCAAAGTGGTATGTGGTGTGGTGTGGCAATATGAATACCCACATTCTACCTTGCTGTATAATCAGTTATAAACTTATTGATAGTCACATGTACTTAGGTAAGCATTGCTCCTTTTTGTTATTTATAATTTGTTTCAATTACTTTTGAATGTCGAGACTCAAGAGCCAATGTACAGGTCGACTAACTTGTGGTGGCCATACTGATAGCACATGGAGTAGATTATTATTCAAGCTACATAATTTTCTTACAATATCAAAAAGGCTGGAGTTGAGAAATTTGTGTATCTCCTATGGGGTAAGTTTGGGTTTCCCTTTTTAACACTAGCTATTAATCAAGGATTTACTATATCTATACATATTATTGTGAATATTCTAGTTTCAAGACCATTATTTTGATCTTGACTTTTCATACAAATTGTTCACAGGATGGCACACCAGTAGAGGGAGAAACTTTCATGAGGGATTTAAAATCTATTGTTCGTGATGATCAATTGATGCGTTCGATCATGCTGGAAATCTCTTCCTGAACGAAGTTCTTTTAGTAGTGTCAATTTTATTGGGATATATGTGTTGTATGGACTTTCAGTATCTTTCAGCACACTTTTTTCCCTTTATATATGTAAGAACTAGTGAAGTGGATGAAATAATACTTTATGAATTTATTGAATAAATGTATTCCTTTAGAAGAGACTTGGTGAAGCATCAAGCACTTCTGCTTGGAAATTGGTTCATAACGTTACAGTCACAATGAGAGGCTATATTGACGATTTCTTAGACAATTATTGTTCATTAAGAATTCCAGACGGCGTTTGATTTCAAATAGATAATTTCTCTATTCCACACTAGAATCTATATATAATATAAAGGAGAAACATAGACAAAGTGATGTGATACCTCTCTATGACCTCCATTCATATTTATCTTTTTTTGATTTTTTTTTCTTAATTTTTTCATTAAATATTTTATTTATTAAATAAAAAAAAAATCATATTTACTATTCTAATTATACCTAATGAGTCACAAAAAACCTCCATCTATTCATATTCTCTACTTAAATAACATGTCGCTTCAACTTCTTCTTATGGATTATCAAATCTATAAATTACAATCATCCATGGAGATGTTGAATATTCATTTTTCATTTTCTCATTCTTTTTTTCTATTAGTGTAGTTTTTTTCTCATTCTTTCTTTCGATTAGTATAGTTTTTTTTCTCATTCTTTCTTTCTAATAGTGTAGTTTTTTTTTTTAAAAATAAAATTATTCTTCATCTTTTTTATAAGAAATCATAGAAAAGATAGTGACATGATATGTTCTTCATTTTGATGAAGATCAAGAATATATTCTTCAAAGATTCATTATAAAAAGATGTTCACATTAATTCAGTACAAGATCATCAAAATGAAGAAAGAAGTTTAATTATGTTGAAAGATTCATCAAGAGAGATGATCGTATTAGTATAAATTAAAGTTTGAATGTTTCCAATATTTTAAAGATTCATTAATGTATTGTTTTGATTTCAATATTCTAAAATTTTGACATGCTTGAAAGATATATTATCTATGGTACATTTCTCATAGCTATTACATATTGTTATACTTAAAATATTATATATAATATAAGCTAGATGTAAGAAAGTGAAGTTACATCTCTCTTTGCCCAAAGATTCTATTTATCTTTTTTCCTCATTTTTTTTTGACAATTTTTCATATTTTTCTACTTACTTATTATTGTACAAAAAATAAATATATCAGTTACTACTCCTCTATTTATTGTTATACTTAAATGTCTGAAAAATTATTTACACTCATTATTATTCTTTGTTACAAAAAATTAAAAGTTTCAATATTTTCTACTTTAATATTTCAAGATATTTGTCTCTTTTTTTATTGTATTTTTTTTCCTCTTTCAATTTTGTTAAACACAATGGAGTAGTACAAAAAGAGAAGAAGTTGATTTGCTTTCTTTCCTAATAGGCTAAATGGTCTGGTGGACCCTTGTACTTGTACTCGTTTGTATTGTAAACCCTTCTACTTACCCCTTTGTCATATGAACCCCCGAACTCATTTAAACTCAACTTGTTGAACCCTTTCAACTCATCGTGACTCTCAATGGCGCTGATGTCACATTCCATGTCAGATAAATTCTGCCACATTATTTTTTATTTTTATAATAATTTCTTTTTGGACAAAAATTCATAAAGTTTTGATGCAAATTATTCTTTTAAATTAAAATTTTGGGTCTCCCTACATCAGCTGTCATTTTCACCGTGAAATGGCCCAATCACCGGAGAAAGTTGCCATTGCCACCTTCTCTTGCCGGCGAGACCACAAATACTCTCTCCCTCATCTGTCTCCGTCTTCGTTGCACATGATATTGCAATTTAAAATTACATCTGTCTCCATTCACAGCCTCATTTGAGCTTACAATTTCATCAAAACTGATATTAACATCAATAGAAGAAAACACTCAAACCTTACTACTCCTAAAACTAAACTTGACACCAAAAAACTTGAAATTGAAAAATAAAATCCAAAGCTTGAAAGAAGAAAGATCAAGAAATATGAAAATTTCAAAGTTGTATCTACAATTTAAAAGAGAGATAAAATTTTGACTTTTTTTAAAAAAAGTTTTGCTTCTAAAGAGATAAAAAGAAACAATTAGTAGCAACAAAAATCCTTCTTCAATTTCGATCTGAGCTTTCAATTTGGAGAAGTTTTTTTTCTTTCGTTTCCAATTATTTTTGTTGTTGAATTTTTTATGAATATGTAGTTTTCATTTGAAACGTGAGGGAAAGTGAGATTGCAAGAAAAAATAATAAATAGAGAGGATAGTGATATAGCATGAGGGAGATCTGTAATTTTTCAAAAAGGGTGGGTGGGTGGGTTTGAAGAAGAAAGGGGTTTTTTTTTTCTTCTTTTTTTAAGATAGGTTATTCTTTTTTACTTTTTATTTAATTTTAGTAACTTTTTAAATCAATTCACGCTCTTATTTCGCGTGTGTAATACACATTTTTCCAACTCAGCTAAATTAATGCCACCTAAGACCGGTCAATGGTCAAAGGGGCTTAAAATTTCTATTTTGTTTGAGTTGAAATGTCCAGTTGAAACTTTGTGGAGTAGAAAGGTCCAATTTACAATTCGAGTCAAGTATAAGGGTCCATCAGACCCTTTTGCCTTCCTAATAAAACTTAAACACCCAACAAATGTTGAATAGTTCATGAGTTTTTTTGGTCTTCATTATTTTATTTTTCCCTTTTTCTATGTATTTTAAAATTTGTATCTCCATAACTTATACCTAATTGAACTTTTACTTTAATTAATATTATTAACTCTTTTTCTGTAAATTTTCATATTCATAACCCCCAACTATCTAATTTCAAAATTTAAGATACCTTATGATATTAATTTCTTCAATTTTGTCTATATATTCATATTTTTTTGTTTCATTAGATTCCTACTCTAGATTATTATTTTTATTCCATATTTGAAATATTGATATCCTATATTATTGTTGTAGTATCAAATTTATACTGTAGTTTGACTCCATGCAGAGGCTCTTGGATATGTATAGAAGGGATGCCTGATAAAAGCTCAAAAATAATTGCATTGATTATCTGATTTTTCATCATCTTTGTTTTTGTGATTAAAGACTTGACAAATTGTGTTGTTATTTTTCGCTTTTTACTTACTTTTTCATATGTTCTCTCTCTCTATATATTTTTTAATTCAGATTCCTATAAAAATTTTAATTGTAGTAAATTACATTTTCATTTAGACTCAAATTAGTTATTTGTAATTTTGTCAGAACACAACCAACAAGTGTTCAAATTTTATTACTCATGGCTCAAAACAAATGCATATAAAGTATTGAATACGTAATTCTTAGGTATTTCTTATGGTGAAGAACCATTTAAATTTGTTCGTTTCTTCTACTTCTAAAGAATTACAAGAATAATATAAGATATACACGAAAAATTAGCAATAGAGGATTATTTAGATGATAATGAAAAATAGAGAAAAATAATTATTTAGACGATGATGAATAAGAGAAAAAACAAGGACAAAGAACGAATTAAATATCAAAGAATGAAATAAAAATATTTATCTCTATTTCCTCGTACTTTTAGTTTCATCATTTATTTTTTCGAACTAAAGGAAGATTCATTGGATAGTAAATTTATCATTTGACAAAAATAAGAAAAAAAAATCAAGTCTTAAAATATGTTTATCCGAATTTTATGTATTAACATCATAATATATGATTTTTTTTCTTAATAAATTAGTCTTTTAATTTTGAAAAATACTTGATAATAAAAATGTAATTCACTTAAGCTCTAATTTCTACAAAAATATTTGTATTGTAATTTTATAATTTTTCTTATTTCTATAATTGATTTTTTATTTCTTGTATCATAATTATTTTTTAAAATAAATTTACATATACATATTTCATAACTGCGCGAAACGCGGTCAAATCCCTAGTATAATTATGAAAGATGTATTTAGAAGGTAGTGTAAAGTGAAAGCACCCGTTGATAAATTAGGGTTGTTGAAAGAAAAAAAAAAGATAAATAGTAAATTGTTGATAAAGGTGAAACTAATTTGGATATTCCGACTGACTTGGTAGATTCGATAATGAATTAACGTAAGTTGGAAAAGAATTCACTACAAATAATTGATGAAACATTATGATACTAAAATATAAATTCACCATGAAGAAGTAATTATTATGAGGGACATATATTAAAGACGAACATGCATAAGATAGGGGCAAAAGTGTAAACTAATTATATATGATGCAGATGATCGATACTTATTAACACGCTTCAACCCGTCAAAGTTAAAATTGTTGTCCACCTTTTAGTACTGACGAACAACTTTAGAAGCTCCTTCTCCCCCATGTCTCTCCATTGCAACTAAGCTTAGACGTAATCTATGACGTGCAATCAATTCTACCACCTCAATGACACCATAGATGTGTAACCAATAGGGTGCACAACTTGAAGCTTCGCCTTCTATTCACTTCTTAATTTTAACACTTTCCACTCTTGTAACATGACAGCAAGTGCAGCTACTGCAGACTGCATTTTACTACTAAAGTTTGCAACGACAAGACGAGCATTTGTCTTGGAATCAACACCACCAAAACTTCAACATAATTTTCATAACCACTCTTCTAACACCTGATCCTTTTTGACAAAGTGTAAATGGGCTTGAATTCGAAATAAAACTCCCTAATAGCTCGTAGGCCCTTACGGAGTCAGCTTGGTTCACAACAAAAAGCACCCGTTGATAAATTAAGGTTCTTGAAAGAAAAGAAAAATAAATAGTAAGTTTTTTATAAAGGTGAAACTAATTTGGGTATTTCTATTTTACTTGGCAGATTCGATAATAAATTAACGTAAGTTGGAAAACAATTCACAACAAATAATTGATGAAATATTATGATACTAAAATATAAATTTACACATTATAAAAAAATAATTATTACGAGGGACATATATTAAAGAAAAACATAATATAGGAGCAAAAGTGTAAATTGATGACGAATCAACCAAAAAAAAAAAAAAATCATATATGAAGCGATAGTATAACATAGGAGTTAGGACAATATTAAATATTCTTCAACAATAAAAGAGTAAATTAGACCCTATTCTCAAAATTCCTAAGATCTCAATTGGAATTAAAAAAATAGAGAAAATTGCAAAAAATTAAAATCCTCATATAAATATAATATTATTATTAATATGAATTATGGTAATCTAAATATAGTTAGTAAGTCACACTTTTCACACTTACATTTTTATACTACCTGAAATATCCTTCCATAAACAAACCATACATCCTAAAATCAAGGGTATGATCGTCATTTTTGAGATACCAGATACATGCGAGATGGGAGAGAGGCGAGCGAGATTTGTTATGTATCCATATACATGTGAATCAACTTGAATACAATGTATCTAGAACAAATGACATATCTGAATGTATCTAGACGCACAAAAACATGGTAAGAATCGTAATATTGCAAATTAATGTGTATCTAAGTAATTAACTTCTTTGACTAAGTTAGATTTATGTGAATATAGTCAGCAAGTCACACTTTTCACACTCACATTTTTATACTACCCGAAACATCCTTTCCATAAAACATTTACTCCCTCCAAAACCAAGGATACGATCGCCATTTCCCTTGAATGTCTTCACCAATCAACCGTAGTATAAATAGACAAGTTTTCCTTTGGTCTTTCTTCAGCTAGAAACTCAAAAAAGATATTTATATCACCACAGATTTGAAGTGTATGATGATGAGGAAAACAACGATTATTAGCGGAAATGGCAAGGATGGTGTTGATGGGAAGTCGAAAATGAGAAATGAGGTTCTTCCATCGGGTAGATGGCCTGATCATGCTCAGTTACTGTTTCAGAATCACCACAACTTCAAAGAGAGTGGGAAACCATTGAGGTTCAAGATGTATAAGGATGGATCGTGGATGGATTTCGAGAAACATGTAATGGATGTGCTCATTTCAGCTTTTGTGAGTAGAAAGGGTATGATTGAGGTAGAAATTAAATCTGGATTTAAATTAATTATTGATTTTTACCGCATGTTTGGAATAGATTTGGACAATGGGAACGAACTGCCAATCTCTTGGATTGATGTAAATGGAAACTATTTTATCCCTAAAATGTTCATTGAGGATTCAGAAAAAGGAATGAGGAAGAGAGGAATCGAAGTAGGCAGTTCATCGCGGCTTGTTATCACTACCCCTACTGAATTGGTTCAACCAAAGTGGGCTAGGACAAGGTCAATGAGGGAAGATGAGTACGCCTATCAGACGGTAAAGGGTTACCTGCTGTCGTCTCGTTCGGGTGTTACAATAACTGCCATTCATGAGTGTATTAAAAGCGGTCTTATGGAACAAGTTTTTATAGACAATGTGGAGATGGTAACGAGGGACAGAGGGAACCCTAAAGTTGTACTTGCTTGGTATGGGTCATCGTCCAGGAATTTGAACTCCATAATGCATCGTGGATTTGAATTAACAAGAATTGAACCCGGTCATCGCGGTATTGGTATACACTTGTCGCCTTTACAGTCACCTCAAATAAGGTTAGTTCATTTTTTGTGTTTTCTTTTTATTATTTCAAATGTACATTAATTATTTTTCTTACTCGTGTAGTGAAATGATGTCTGATGTTGATGAAAATGGTGAAAAACATATGATGTTATGTCGAGTCATATTGGGAAATCTTGAAAAGGTTGAGCTCGGATCTAAGCAGTTGTTTCGATCGAGTGTGGATTTTGATACCGGGGTTGATGACTTGATCAATCCAAAGTTGTATGTGATGTGGTATCACAATATGAACACTCACATTCTACCCGAATGTATAGTCAGTTATAAACTTGATCGTCATATGCCAGGTAATATACGTATAGTTTCAATTATTTTTGAATGTTGTGAGAGAAACGAAACAGTAATACTCAAGTATAAATACAGGTCAGCAGAACTGTGGTGCTCATACTGACGATCGATGGTGTAGATTACTATTCAAGCTACCTAATTTGCTTCCACTAACAAAAAAACTGGAGTTGAAAAGTTTGCATACCTCCTATGAGGTAAGTCTAGATTCTTTTTTTAACACAAGATTTACTATATATATATACAAATGGTGAATATTCTGATTTTAAAATCTTGACTTGTCATACAAATTATATATTCACAGGTGGGCAAAGTAGTAGCGCAGGAACATTTCATAAGCAAGATACAAGCTATTGTTCAAGATGATCAATTGATGCGTCCGATTATGTTGGAATTCTTTCCTGAGATGAGGTTCTGTTAAACTTGTTGGGATAAAATGGGAATTATGGTTTCTCATTGATAAATTTCATGTTGAAAAAACCAAGTGTAATGTTACCTTTTACAGACTCAGGTTTTCGACTTTCATAATTTTCTCTTTTTGATGCTCACTTAGTTTGTTGGCTGCTTTTAGTAGAATTAGATTTCATATCTAGCTATTTTCAGCTAAGAATTGAAATTACTTGCTGAAATATATGTATGTCACATCACATATATATACTAGACTAGACCTCTTACCGTATGATTAGGGTTGCGATCACAGGTTATAAAAATTGATGGCATGTGGCAATATAATAGTAGCAAATCATGTTGTTTGGACTTCCAATTATTTAGTGGGTACCATTTTTAACTTGATGAATGATTAAGATATTATGTTTTTTTCATAAGTCATCACCAAAGATTGTGAGCCCTTAGGTGGGAGGTTAGGTTTGATTCTTACCATGTTTATTCATCCACGCAAATAAATTTAAAGGGGGACATGAAACAAATCTCTAATATAGAAAGGAGTTAACTAGTTTGTTCAAAAAATCAAAAAGAAGAGAATGATTTAGATATGGTTAACTAGATTAACAAGTATCTCTACATATAAGTTGTAGAGGGCATGACAGGTAGATGGCAAAATAGAACACCTTAATTCAATGTAATTTCAAGCCTCCATTGATGGCCGGCTCTATTCATGAACAAAAATCTATTTTGCTTAGGGTTTATAAACCGCCAGGAGGTGCTTATATTTACACCTTGAGCAAACGTGCTTTAGGATTTATAAATTGCACTTCTACGTTCTTATTTTAAATTTTCCGAAACATCCTTCGCATGAACAAACCTGCTACTTTCATAAAAGGTCATAAGACAATGCAACAATGTCTACTTTTGGTAATTTTAAATGTATAATTAATAAGTCAATCAAATCATTTGCAACTATGTAAGAAATTGAGAATTGAGGTTCCAATTCCGAGAAAATTATTGTTTGTCGAGTAGGTGTCCTGATCATCACCATTTATTTGTTAAGAACCACATGTTGGAATAATAATTCAAAGTTAAGAGTAGGATTCCTAAGTTGTTTAATATTTGTTATTTTTTCAATTCATGTCTAGTTAGGATTGGATTATCCTAATTTGTATATAATAAGTTTTCTAATGTTAGTTTAATTTGGTTTCTTACTATAGGAATGTTGCTAATTATTTTTAATATATAGAACAGAAAGATCTATAAAAAATAGAGAGAACTTGAATATATTTTTATGCAAACTTGAATCTCATCTTCTCAAAAGATGTATATATATATATATATATATATATATATATATATATATATATAAATACGACTAGAATTAGAATATAAAATACAATTACTTAATTGTCTCATGACTTCTATTAAATAATATTTTATTTAAATTAAGTAATTAAAAAAGAAAAACACTTGAAAAATCAAAATGAATTAGTTTTTAATTTAAGTTCTTATATCAATTGATTATAAATTAATCAAATTTATATTTAGGGAAGCCCAAGTTTTCTAAAATCGAAAGTCATAATTGAATATAATTTGTGAAATTTAAGATATAAAAATAAAAATTTATACTCCAAAAAAACTACTCCCTCTATTCCATAATAATGTTAAAATGATTGTTTGGAGTTTTTTTTTTTTTTCATAATTCAAAATAAGTGAACTTTTTGAAATTTAATATAAATGTTTGATATTTTTTTTTTTTTTTTTTGCCCTTCATTTACATTTTTTAGGTGATAAATTCAAGAGAGTTAATTCCTCATATTTATGATTTTTCTTTAAATTATTTCCCTTTTTAAAAATTGTTTGACAATCACTAAAAGTATAAAAGTGGAAAATACTATTTAATTAATGTCATAATTTTTTTTCTTAAAAAGTATGAGGGTGTTTGGATTGGCTTAAAAGTTGGTCAAATCTAATTTTAAGTCAGTTTTTGACTTTTAGAAGTGTTTAACAAATATAAAAATTAACTTAAAATAAGTTGGGAAGTGTTTGACAATGTAAAAAATGACTTAAAAAATAAAAAGTGGGGATCTTCCCCTACTTTTTATTTTTTGACTTAAAAGTTATTTCAATTTGACTTTTTTTATTTTTGACTTAAAAGTTACTTATTTTAAGTCAAAATCCAAACAGGCTCTATGTATTAACTCACAAATTCACTTAATATGGACCGAAATATTTTCTTATTATAAAAGAGGAAAAAAGAAGACAAAATAGGCAAATAGCAAATAATAGAAAAAATGAATTTAATTTATTAATAGGGATTACTGTAATATATAGAAAAAGGAGACTTTCATTTCCACTTTTCGCACTCACATTTTTATACTATCCGAAATATCCTTCCATAACAAGCCTTACACTCTAAAATCAAGGGTCTGATCGTCATTTTTGAAATACTTGATACATATGAGAGTGGTGAGCGAAATAAAAGAGAAGTGAATGAGATTTGGTATGTACCATAAAACATTTATGCCATCTAAAACCAAGGGTATGACCGTCATAATGTCTTCTCCAATCAACTACTAGTATATATACACAAGTTTTCCTTTGGTCTTTCTTCTACTAGAAATTAAGCTTCTCAAAAAAATATTTATGATGATGAAGAAAAGAGCGATTATTAGTGGAAACGGCAAGGATGGTGTTGATGGGAAGTCGAAAGTGAGAAATGACGTTCTTCCGTTGGGTAGATGGCCTGATCATGCTCAGTTACTGTTTCAGAATCACCACAACTTCAAAGAAAGTGGGAAACCGTTGAGGTTCAAGATGTATAAGGATGGATCCTGGATGGATTTCGAGAAACATGCGATGGATCTGCTCATTTCAGCTTTTGTTAGTGGAAAGGCTATGATTGAGGTGGAAATGGAAGGGTTTAAATTAATTGTTGATTTTTATCGCATGTTTGGGATTGATTTGGACACTGGGAATGAACTGCCAATCTCTTGGACTGATGTCGATGGAAACTTTTTTATCCCTAAAATCTTCATTGAGGATTCAGAAAAGATTCATGAGATTGAAAAAGGAAAGAGGAAGAAGGTAAGAAGGGAAAATGTTCATCTGTCGAGGGAAGAAGGTAAGAAGGGAAAATGAATCGGGCATTACCTCAGCAGAATACACCTCAGATTTTCGACTTCCATAATTTGCCGAGGCTGGCTGCTTTTATTGGAACTAAGTCTCATATCTAGCTATTTTCAGCTAAGAACTGAAATTACTTGTTAAAATATATGTATGTTGGAATTTAACAAGTGTGGATTGTATTTTTTTCAATTTTTTCAATTCATGTCTAGTTAGGATTGGATTATCCTAATTTGTATATAATAAGTTTTCTAGTGTTAGTTTAATTTGGTTTCTTACTATAGGAATGTTGCTGATTATTTTTAATATATAGAACAGAAAGATCTATAAAAAATAGAGAGAACTTGAATATATTTTTATGCAAACTTGAATCTTATCTTCTCAAAAGATGTATATATATATATATATATATAAATACGACTAGAATTAGAATATAAAATACAATTACTTAATTGTCTCATGACTTCTATTAAATAATATTTTATTTAAATTAAGTAATTAAAAAAGAAAAACACTTGAAAAATCAAAATGAATTAGTTTTTAATTTATGTTCTTATATAAATTGATTATAAATTAATCAAATTTATATTTAGGGAAGCCCAAGTTTTCTAAAATCGAAAGTCATAATTGAATATAATTTGTGAAATTTAAGATATAAAAATAAAAATTTATACTCCAAAAAAACTACTCCCTCTATTCCATAATAATGTTAAAATGATTGTTTGGAGTTTTTTCTTTTTCATAATTCAAAATAAGTGAACTTTTTGAAGTTTAATATAAATGTTTGATATATTTTTTTTTTTTTGCCCTTCATTTACATTTTTTAGGTGATAAATTCAAGAGAGTTAATTCCTCATATTTATGATTTTTCTTTAAATTATTTCCCTTTTTAAAAATAGTTTGACAATCACTAAAAGTATAAAAGTGGAAAATACTATTTAGTTAATGTCATAATTTTTTTTCTTAATAAGTATGAGGGTGTTTGGATTGGCTTAAAAGTTAGTCAAATCTAATTTTAAGTCAGTTTTTTACTTCTAGAAGTGTTTGACAAATATAAAAGTTAACTTAAAATAAGTTGGGAAGTGTTTGACAATGTAAATAATGACTTAAAATTAGTTGAAAATGACTTTTAAAAAAAAGTAGGGGTCTTCTTCTACTTTTTATCATTTCAATTTGACTTTTTTTATTTTTGACTTAAAAACTATTTATTTTAAGTCAAAATCCAAACAGGCTTTATGTATTAACTCACAAATTCACTTAATATGGACCGAAAGAATATTTTCTTATTATAAAAGAGAAAAAAGAAGACAAAATAGGTAAATAGCATATAATAGAAAAATTGAATTCAATTTATTAATAGGGATTACTGTAATATAGAAAAAGGAGACTTTCATTTCCACTTTTCACACTTACATTTTTATACTACCCGAAATATCCTTACATAAACAAGCCTTACACTTTAAAATCAAAGGTCTGATCGTCATTTTTGAAATACCTGATACATGTGATAGTGGTGAACGAAATAAGAGAGAGGTGAACGAGATTTGGCATGTACCATAAAATATTTATGCCATCTAAAACCAAGGGTATGACCGTCATTGTCACACCCCAAATTCGGATGTGATGGCACGTGTCCATTTCCCACCGGACACGTCAGCCTAACCCAACCACAACGATAGAGAAGTAGAAATACGAGAATAAAAGATAATAAATAAGCGGAAGACTTTAATTAAGACTCAACACTACCCAGAATTTGGTTGTCACATGTACAAACCTCTAAATACAAAATTCGAATAAAAATATACAAGTCTCAGAGTATAGTTCTCGAATAGAACAAAACTAAAAGTAAAGATAACTCAAGGGCACGTCTGGAATGAACCGCTACCTCTCGAGTATGTCCCGAAGCTC